GGACATCAGCTCAGATATAAAAGCGAGAAGGAAGAGGGAAGTGGGGGGGCATTCGCTGTTTGTGTTTGTCGTCCAGAGCAACCGCTATGCGTACTGAAGCCCTCCTTCCTGGGAAAGCGGCCGGACATGGCCCGCCGATGGGAAGTAGAGAATAATCTCTGTTTGGCCTTGCTTCTGCATGCAGGCTTTGCTTTTGCTGTATTAAACTGCTTTTATCTTAACCCATGGGCCTCTTGTATCTTCCCTCTACCCTGTCCATCTAAGAAGGGGGAGTGATAGAGCAGCTTTGGTGAGCTCCTGGGCTCCAGCCAGGGCCAAACCACCACATCATTACTGGGAGCAATTACAAACAAAACACTTCAGTTCTAGACATAGCTGAGCGAGACAAAGACACTATTAACTCTTGTTGCTCCTAACCACCACACTCCTTGAATCTTCCTGCACAATGTATTTTAGAACTAACAAAAAAAAAATAAATCTGTTTTGTTAAAGCCCAGCACTGTCACATCAGGGAATAACAAAACAATAGAACAGTTATGCTAACAGGTCTGTGGAGATTATAACTTCCAAAACTAGGTAGCAATAAAAACCTATTATAACCAGGCAGTACTTTGGTTATTTCTTAATCAGGAACAGCTGTAGCCAGAACAGGATATTCTTGGCTTAGAAACAGCCCTATCTTCAAGATAGCATTGCCCTTATACACACATGCAGAACCAGAATGGATCGTTCAGCCAAATTTAACAAAATCAATGACTTGCAGACAAACCAGGCAAAGGTTGCTTTGTAGAAAATTAGTGCACAAAATCTCAGTGCACTTTGGAAAGGACAGATTTTACACAAAACTGACAGCACTCATTTACTTACAGATATATAAACCAGGGGGAGTTGGCTGGGAGAGGCTGATAGCTGCTCGGACGCTGACTGGGCATCAGTCAGTGGGTGATGAGCTACTCCACTGTGCATCTTTTGTTGGGTTTTATTTCTCTCTTTTTGTCATCTTACTTTTCATTAAAATTATCATAATTATTTTGTTTCAATTACTAAACTGTTATTTTCTTAACCCATGAGTTTTACTTTTTTTCTGCCTCCTGATTCTCCTGCCCATCCCAGCTGGGAGGGGGGCTGAGGAGGAGCGAGCGAGCAGCTGCATGGTGCTTAGCTGCTGGCTGGGGTTTAACCACAGCATCTTTGGCACCTGAAAAAGAAAGGGACCCTCACTTCCTACTCGCCATCATCTCCTGGCAAAGAGCCAACAGATTGGTTTTTGGCCTTTTACCCTGCAAGCATGTACAATCATTGTGATCTTTCACTCCCATCTTGCTTACCTCACCGCCTGTAAATCTCCAGTGAAGCTGCTGTTTGTTTGCTTGTTTTAAGTAAGTTTATGGCTATCCTGTTGGGAGAAGAGGAACAGCACGCAAAATGAGCTGCAGCCTTGCTGTCTGCTTCCTGCTGCCAAGTGGCAGGTCTTCTGCTGACAAGTCATAGATGACCTGGCCTCATCCAGGTCCAAACCTTCTGATATTTTATGTAAGCAACAACTCCTCAGTGTTTAACAGTTTCATTGCTGTTATTATTTTAAGTACAGGGCACTTTCACAATTATATTGTTTCTTCTGGTGTTTTCACACTCAGCCATTTGCATTCATACTTCATTCAGACTTAATATTACCGTTACATATCTTAACAGCTTGAAATTGAGATCAGAACTCCACATTTTCTCTCACCCTTCCCCACTCCTAATTAACAAAATCTTTTCTTAAGAAACCAGTACTACTCACATCAGGGAGGAGGAAAGGGTCGTTCTGGAGAAGTAGCACTCGCAGCTCATTCTCATCGAGGCCAGACAACTCATGGCTCTTCAGAATTTTTTTGTTTTCAGCATTGATGATGTTGTGCGGGTACTTACAAAATCTGCAAGAAAATACACAGAAATACCAATGTTTACTTCTTCAGTCAAGTTGATTTAAAGAAAAACCTCAGATAACGTGTGTGGGAAAATAATGGAAAAACGAGGAGGAGGGCTGTAAACACCCTCCAGTGACTTGCAGCTGGGATGTAGAAAAATACATATATCATTCTAATTGTTGTCTATTCTTGTGTGTTTGACAAGTAGAACATCTGTGTTCACATAACACAGGCCTATGGTAGACTCAGAGGCACCCTACTGAACATGCCTGAGATTCCTGCTCCGCTGCGGGGAAGATCACAGCACAGCAGTAAACTATGCCTGCGCAAATCCTGAAACGCAGGAGAAAACAGCAGGTTTGGTGATCTTCTAGCAGGGACCCAGCTCTGAGGTACCCACATCCCTGCTTGCGTGCCTCTGCCCAGGTGCTGCTTCAAGGATCCCCCAGTATTCAACGTAGTTAAAACAAACTCATTCTTTGCATTTCATCCATGTATTTTTTCAGTTGTTCCTGTGTCCTGCTGTGCCAGCTCACATAACACGCTACTTGGGAAAAGCCGTGGAGAGAAAGATAGCATGGCAAAAGCCTTTACGACCGTTTAGATGGCCTCTGTAACTAGCTACAGAATGGACCAGACAGCATAACTCTGTGAAACACAGTAACATTTTCATTCCCATTTTAAACATCAATGTGGACAGACCACATTTAAGAAAGCCAGCAGCACAGATTTGAAGTCAAGTTTGCCTGTCCCAGGCTTTCTTCTCCTCCAGTAAGTAGCAAATCAAGTCACACAACCCAAACAGCTGGAGCACAAGCTAATTTTAGAGGAACACATGAACAATGGTGGAAGTTGCAACACCCTTGATTTAGTGAACGTAAAGGGGTTTTGTACCAGGGATGGCATGTAAAGAAAGATGCAAGAGTCTGAGAGACCAAAAAATGAGACTCAACGAAGCTGAAAGCAACACAACTTGTTTTCTTTGGTGGCTGAGAAGTGAAAGAAAACCAAATCACACACACACCAAAAAAACCAAAAAAGTTCATTACCTTCCAAGTTTTGGATAAACCAATTAAACGACAAAGATGTTGGTGCTACTTAACTAACCCAAGAGAAATGTCTGAAGTGAGTATGAATTAGAAAGAGAGACTGAATGTTTTTTGCATCTATTTGAAAAAATACTGGAAATCATAAAAATAGGAGAAATACAGTCAACCTGTGCATTAATTCAATGCAGTAAAATACAGCTTTCTTACGTCTTGCTGTTCAAAACATGATCTGATGCAGCCCTAAGACTAGACATACTCAACCAATAAAAGTAGCTGTTAATCTATCAGACTCAAATCTCTGTTTCTTTTATCCTTTTAGCCTTTATTTAACTCCCAGTACAATCCCTGTGAAAGCTTTCTTACTTCATTCTGTGTCTGATCCAATCCTCCTGTACAGACCCTTGCATAAACATTTCATCCTTGACCCCCAACACCTGTTGGGCACAGTGCTTTGTAAGCAAATAAACAAGAATGCTAAGTCTAAAGGGCAGAATATGCCACCTGAGTCCTGTGAAATGATCTTCTCGGGATATCAGATTGCAAATAGCTATGAAGGCAGGTGAGCTACTGAGCATTTAAGGTGGGAGCCACCACCAGCCTTCCTCCACAGTTAGCTTCAGATTCCACTGACAGTCACATGGTGATGTACATCACTTGAGTACGTATTTCTAAGTCAAAGGTTGAAACAGTCTACAAATTCAGTGATAACTAATCAGGTCAGTTTTACAATGCATTTAGGAAAAAAAAAAAGCAGTGAAAAGTTACTTGCCAGACACAAGTTAAAAATTAGTTTAAGTTAAAAATTAGTTTAAGTGGACTAACATCCCAATTCCACTAAATAGGAAAACCCTGGCAACTTGCACAGACCTTTTCCTTTGCAGAGATTCTAAAACAAAAAGGATACAAGCTCTGGAAGCAAGGCTGGCTTGAACCTTACCAGCTAAAAAATAGTCTCTGTCCTGATCTGTATGGTTCACCTAGCAGTATTTCTGCTCCCTCATTTTAATTAACCTTCCTCCCATGAAAAGCATATTCTTCATTTAATTAACACATGTAAAGGTGATTTAAAATAATTAATTAAATAAAATTCAATACTTAGTGCTTGTTCTGGGTTTAGCTGAAAATCCAGTTCTGTTTAGTGATTTTTACTT